ACACAGGTTAAGTAGTTCATTTCATATTTGCCAGCACATTCCTATTTGTTTCTTGCAGGGAGATCCATTTAGAGATCTGAGAGCCCCATTATGATCAGACAATTGAGTGGAAAGCTTGGCATCAGCAAAAGGCAATGATTTTCTTAAAAGTTACTCTTACTAATAACAGAAGCCACCTCCATCAGATGCAGATGTGCTAAAGGGTCCTGGACACACACTGGTTAGAGCACACCTTCTTGAGAATGCTTAAGCTATTTCTCTTTTGATGAAGTAGCTTTGTATACTGGAAAGTGCACATGGTGAGTTATACACTTTAAATAGGTAAATTGTACATAATGTAAATTACACCCTAATAAAGCTGCTCTGGTTTTAACATTTCTAGAGTTTCTTTGTATGCAAAATTTTTACACATAAGGAGGGTTATGTTTAGAGAATTAACAACTGGTCTCAGGTTTATAACATGGATGGGCTTTAAAGCTGTCTACTTGTACTCTCTCTGACAAATAAATAAAAATCTTAAAAAAAACATTATGCTAAGTAAGCTATATCACATGGAGAAGACAAATACTACATGATATCCCTTATATGTGAAATCGAAAAAAGCTGAATTTGTAAAAGTAGCAGAATGGTGGTTACCAGGGGCTAGGGGTGGGGGAATTAGGAAGATGTCTAAGAGTACAAACTTGCAACTAGTAAATAAATAAATCCTGGAGATCTAATACACAACACAGGAATTATAGTCAACAATAATGTGTTATAAACTTCAAAGCTGCTAGGACTCTAGGTCTTAACCTGTTCTCAACACACACAAAAGAATACTAAATACGTGACACATAAAAGTGTTAGGTAATGCTACTATAGTAATCATACTGCAATACATAAATTTATCAAACCAACACTTTGTATACTTCATACTTAACATAATTTTATATGCCAACTGTACCTCAATAAAATAAATAAGTGGTCTCAGTCCATAAACTCATTCTGTTAAAGAGTAGTTCCACACATCACTTTACAGGTAAATGTTAAAAAATTTAATTAGAAGGTTCAATGTAAAATTTAAGTGTCAACTGAATTTCATTTCTTCCTAATTACCCTCACCTGAAATATTTCAACCACACCAAGAAGAGCCAACCAATCCACTGATACAGTACTATTCGAAGTGTGGTCCACAGACCAGCAGCATGCGCATCACCCAAAACCTTGTTAGAAATGCAAATTCTTAGTCTCCACAACAGACCAACTAAATTAGAATCTCTGGGAATGGACCTAAACAATGTGTTTTAACCACCCATCTAGGTGAGGCCTACGTACACTGAAGTTTGAAAACCACTGCACCAAACTATTTAAGATCTAAGAAAATGGTATATGATAGTTATACCACCTCTCCTTTTTTTTTACTTAGTCAAATCATGAAAACATTATCTTACCTTCACATCCAGATCTAAAGTCTGTGTATAAAATTCTTAGAAAAAAATATTTGCTAGAGAAATATGCCATTTTAATTTCAAAGAACAATATAGCTGTTCCTCCAAAGTTCATTATAATGAATTTTACATGCATATCTAATTTGAAAAGAAGCCCTACTACATGAGTATTAAAATATGCGTTCTTTAAAAAACAAACAAACAAAAACAACGCTTTCTAGCAATTCTGAAACAATTTTGTAGCTTACCTTGTATTGATCATTGGGACCCAGTTTGTTCCAGGGTTCTGGGTTATTCTTCCTATCCCAACTAAAAGGAACAAACATTGTAACTGTTAAAGTAATAAAACTATTTAAAATAGTTTTGTACTTTCTAAGAAGATAGTATTTGAATAGATCTCATTTTCTATGAGATTAAGTATGGTGGTGTTTTCATTAGAGTTGAAGCAGAGACGGGGCTCTATAATTAGTAATTCCATGTAATTAATTATAAAAAAGGGTAGAGCACTACTGGGTTATTTACCCCAAAGATACAGATGTAGTGAAAGGAAAGGGCACCTGCACTCCAATGTTCATGCAGCAATGTCCACAATAGCCAAACTGTGAAAGGAGCTGAGATGTCCTCCAACAGATGAATCGATAAAGATGTGGTTCATAAATACAATGGAATATTACTCATCCATTGCGAAGGATGAATATCTACCATTTACATCAACATGGATGGAACTGGAGGGAATTATGCTAAGTGAAATGAGTCAATCAGAGAAAGACAATCATCATATAGTTTCATTCATATGTGGAATGTATGAAATAGCAGAGGACCATAGGGGAAGGGAGGGAAAACTGAATGGGAAGAAATCAGAGAGGGGAGACAAACTACAGAGAGACTAGACTCCAAGAAACAAACGGAGAGTTGTGGGAAGGGAGGTGGGTGAGGGGATGCGGTAACGGGGTGATGTACATTAAGGAGGGCACAGGATGTTATGAGCACTGGGTGTTATAAGCAACTAAGGAGTCACTGAACACTACACCAAAAACTAATGATGTAGTGTGTATTGACTAACTGAATTTAAAAAAACAAACGAACAAACGAACACAGGGCCTCTGGGATAGTGTATTTGTCCCTATCTCTGTCACATGGAACTTTTAACTTGGCTTTTGCTGAAGAAGTGATATATAGAAAAGTATACAGAATAACAATAAATCTTTTTTGTTGCCTGTTGTTTTCTAACTTCAAAAAGAAGCATTCCTGGGACACCTGGGTGGCTCAGTCGGTTAAGTGCCTTCAGCTCAGGTCAGGAGCCCAGTGTTCTGGTACTGAGTCCCCACATAGGGCGCCTTGCTCAGCAGGGAGCCTGCTTCTCCCTCTGCCTGCCACTCCCCATGCTTGTGCACGCATACCCGCCCTTGTCTCTCGGACAAATAAGTAAAGAAAACCTTAAAAAAAAAAAAAAAGGCATTCCTTATTGAAGAAAAGAAAGCAAAAGCCATTTACATGTATCAGCAACTCCGATTAAGTATTTTATAAAAAGTTATCTCAATTCTCACAAGATTCTAAATAGATATTAGCAGTTCTACTCTACCCAAGAGAAAAATAAGACTCAGAAATTTAGACAATTTTATGAACCAAGAAAAGTAAATGACAACAGCAGAACTAGGATCTGAACTTCCCATATATGACTACAAAACTTAGGCTCTTTCTACTACTTGATGCTGCCTCCCTTAAGACTGTGGCTCCTAAACCAGCTTTAGACCATCAAAGTTATAAAGTCTCTTAAGTACTTACCTGACATCTGGATTGAACAATGCCAGGCGCAAGACATATAGTGCTGCTCCTGTACCTCCTGCCCCAATAAATACGAAGAGGGGGATCAACTGGAATCAAACAGAAAATATACGAGAATTAGCAGCCACCTTCAAATACCTAGGTACTGAAAAAAAGAAAGGCTACAGTAGTTCCTACACGCTAATTCTGAAGTCTCAAACTGCTACTTTTTGGTCTTGTTTGAAAATCTGAATAAATCAAGACCTAAAAAAAAAAAAAAAAAATCAAGACCTTACATTGAGGTAAGATTTCTTATAACTGTGTTCTAAAGAAATGGAATTTCCGAAAGATGTGAAGATGAATTCGGTTTAATGCAGAAAAACTTCTATTCAAATTTTTAAATTTCCAGGAAAATATATCAAGTCTTCTTCACCTCTCTAATATTTATACATTATCCTCATTAAATTTCCCAGCTTCCTTTTTCTCGAGGCTTGTAAAAACAACTTCTTGCCCTGTCTTATAAGTGTCATGAAAAACATAAATTCGGTGAAATTAAGACTCTGAATGAGCAAACAAAAGCACGTCCATTACAAACATTCGCTACATGCGTAAATCTCTGAAAACACCTTGCTACCAATGCTTAATGCGTAGTTACGCAATGGGTTTAAGTTAAAGACTGCGTAACGGAGTTTTAAGACAACACGTTGATGTCCTGGGGAGAAAACCGGCATGCAAAAGAACTTAACTGCGAGTCACCTTTGCGCTACCGAAGTCTCCCAAAATCTCAAGACAAACACAAACTGAGGATTCCAAGATTATAGACCTTTGTAATTGCCACAAGGCCTGGTGGTGCAATGCAGTGAGCACTAGATCTTTGAGATGACATAATAAACACAAAACCTGACCTACTGGTCTCCAACCCACACGGCGCACAACTATCCCTAGGTCCGACCAACATACAAGAAGGTGCAACCACCAGACTGCTCCAACCTTCCCCAGTTTATTTTCCCCGAAGGTATCTCTCACCTTCCGCCTGCCAGCCTAAACTCTCAGTGCAAGGCGTGGTCAAAGCTCAAGGGTCTGAGGCAACTAGGAGGACAGCTTAAGTGAGGCAGGATCCACCCCGAGCAACAGTTAACGACTATGAAGGAGGAAACCTCCAGGGAGCTGAGGAAGCCGCAGCCGGATACAGGATGGACAAGGAAGACACTGCTAAAAGGGTCACGAACTTACGCTCGGATGCTTCTTGGCCTGACCGATGATCTGGCGTAACATGGTTGCGGCAGAGGCCTCCTGACCAGGAAAGGGAAAAACCAAACGCGGCAGGCCCGGGACTAAGTAAAACTTACACCCAGGATGAACGGACGTCCAAAGTCACCCAGCACCTCCTACCTGAAGGACCCCTGGCTCGGAGGGCAGTCTGCGGCAGGAGGGCCCGGATGCAGCTGTCCGTAATAGTGCCTGCCTTGATCCTGTGCCTTATGCGTCCGCTCTAACCTGGCCAGACCCTTAGCGTTCCAGTCCCAAGCGAAACATTCTCACCCCTGTCATATATTGCTTCTGACTGGTAAATTTTTGCATTGAAACTGGAATTCTTTGATTGACTAGACAGGCACTTTCTCGGGGAGACACACATTGAGAAATGGGGTGGGTGGGGTCTTCTTGGGAGGTGCCTGCGAGCCTGTCCGCGCGCGCTGAGGCGCAGAGGGCGCGCGTGTTGGCCGGCCGCTTGTCCGCCCTGCCGGGCGCTGAGGGAGCTGCGCGGCGCCTGTGGCTGCTCAGCATCCGGCGCCCGGGCGAGTAGGTCGAGTCTCGTGCTGCTAAGGTCAGCGACTGTGGTTTAAGAAGACTGCAGCTGCTTCCTGTCTTAGACTGTCGCTTAAAGGCAGAAGTTAAAAACTAGTAAATGACTTGAAGATGGTAGTAGCCTTCTCAATGTAATCTTTAAATTCCCTCAGGTCCTTGCTCTGGATTTAATGTTCAGTGCCTTACCATTATACTCTGTCCTGGGATTCGAAATTGCTTTCTTAAAACGTGTTTTGAGGGGCGCCTGGGTGGCTCAGTGGGTTAAGCCGCTGCCTTCGGCTCAGGTCATGATCTCAGAGTCCTGGGATCGAGCCCCGCATCGGGCTCTCTGCTGTCTAGGGGAGCCTGCTTCCTCCTCTCTCTCTGCCTGCCTCTCTGCCTGCTTGTGATCTCTCTGTCAAATAAATAAATAAAATCTTAAAAAAAAAAAAAATGTGTTTTGAGTGCTCCTGTTCCTACACATACCTTCCAGTACTCTAACACAATTTTCATTTATCTGTTGTTGTTCTTCTTATTATCTTTTTTAACGGAAAGTTGTCACTTGGGACAGGCAGACTTCAGGGGTCTCAGGACAGCTGAACCCTCTCTGGTCTCTAACGTAGTTTAAAGCATTAATGGAATCATCAAACCAGTGATTGGGAAGACTAGGAAAAGGCTCCTCCGGAAAGCAACGTTAGATCTAAAGTAGACGTAAACGTTAACCAAGTGAAAACGAATGAGGCGGGTGTGCAAGAGTGGTAGTGTGACAGGCTGAAATGAGATAACCTTCTGAAGAACTGAAGGAGGTCTAGTATGGTTTGAACTTGAAGAGGGAGAGCAGAGTGGGGATCAGATCTGTTGGGCCAGTGACCACTTAAATATCAAGCGTTTTATGCTGAGAGCATTAGGAAGTTATGCAAAAATAAATAAATAAATAAAAGTTACTGTGGTTGTAAAGGATTGCTTTGTCTATGAATAATGGATTTGAGGAGATAAGCATGAAAGGGGAGGGGACTGATCAGGGGCCACTGTAGTAGTCCTGAGGAGAGATTATAGTAGATTGGACCAGTGTGGGCAATGTGATGACATAGAAAGGGCTCCAGACATTGGTCAAATGTGAGGAAGTGAGGAGAAGGAGAAGCCCAGGATAATTACAGAGGTTCAGTTTCAACTAGCTGGATGTTGATCTCAATTACTGAAATAAGAAACTATAGAGAATAATGGATATGTATTTATGTAAGATACAAGTAGATCTCTGTAGGGCCAAAGAGAGCTCTAAACTGGGAAGGTAGAAGGTAACAAGAGAGACAAAGGACATGGAGGTGAGGAATTCTAATGCAATTTTGGGGAAAGGAGATAAGGTCAGCAATAAATAAATAAATGGTGATTAAGTTGATATATCATGATGCTTAGGAAGATGGTGTCTTTTTTTTTTTTTTAAGATTTTATTTGTTTATTTGACAGACAGAGATCACAAGTGGGCAGAGAGGCAGAGAGAGGAGGAAGCAGTCTCCCTACCGAGCAGAGAGCCCAATGTGGGACTCGATCCCAGAACTCCGGGATCGTGACCTGAGCCGAAGGCAGAGGCTTCAGCCCACTGAGCCACCCAGGTGCCCAGAAGATGGTGTCTTTTTAATTCATTCAGTAAATCTTGCATTAAGTACCTGCTCAGCACCAGGGCCTGTTCTAACTTGGGAGAAAGCAGTGAATGGGAATATTCTAATTGAGATTACATGGAAGTTGGGAAGACAAACTATAAATAATTAAGATAGTTTTAGATTATGATAAACCAATAAAATATGATAATAAGAGAGAAGGACATGAGAGAGTAAAGGAAAGAAGGTTACTTAAGTGAGAGTAGACAAGGAAGTTTCCTCTGAGGAGGTAAATAAATAAATTTAGCCATAATATCTAAATAAATTAAGGGTACCACACTTGAATAAGGAGGTAACCTGGTGAAAATACGGGTGAAGAATGTTCAGTTCTCAAGAGAAATGGTTTTGAGATTGAAAAACAAAATAAAACCCAAGACCAGTATGGCTGAGCCATATTAAAGGAGAAGAAAATGAGATCAGGGAGATTGTAAAGGAATCTGACATTGACTTTATAGACGATGGTGAGGAATGTGGCTATATTTTCAAAAATCATCATAAAAATAATGGAAACTCCTTAAAAGTAAACACAGAAACCTGATAGCAGTAAGTGCAGGTGGACTTTTAGCAAAGAAATTAGAAGGAGGAAGATTTCTTCTTGTAATATTTTATTTTAATGATAACAGGTAATAATAAAATAAGTAAATATGTATACAGGAATACCACTGTTGATAAGAAAGTAAAATCCAAAGGCTAACTTTTTGGTCATTAACCTAATTTCTAGCAGTAATAATAATATATAGGTAATCAAGTGATGCCTTTGGAAATGTTAACAAAGCAGGGTTCCAGCATATAAATGTCATTAAATATTAACCAGAATGTCAAATTATAAAAGTTTGAATTATACATATTAAAGTTAGAGGAAAGAGTCTATGACTTATATTTTAAGCAGGAATTGGAAGTATGGAAGAGACCTTCAAGGAAAAGAAGCCATAGTGGAGGATGCATATTGTAAAAATATATTTTAGCTTTAGAATTAGTTTTGGTATGTGTGGTAGATTATATTGTATACAAGTACCTGTTGCCTGTCCCTCCAAGGGGATATCACTCACTTGCCTCCATGTCAGGCTTAATAAGATGACTTGCTTTATTAGCAAATGAGATGTGAAATGCACAAGCAGAAGCTTTAACAGCCAATATATGCCATGTTCTTTCTTTTTGCCACAAGGTCACCAGTGTTCTAGATAGAGGTTTGGGTGTCAGATTGAAAACTACTTGGAGCGGAGACATTGCTGACCTACAAGGAACATGTAATGAGAATGAGAAATAAGCCTTTATTGCTGTAAGTCACCAGATTTAAGAGTTCGTTACTGCAGCCTTACTTAGCCTACTCTAATGAAGAATTTGGCACTGAAAGTGTGGTATATTACCATAATAAAACTAAAATATTTGTCATTGGATTCAGGTCCCAGCAACAGGTCACAGGGTAACTGTTACCAGAAGCTGGAAGGATAGCAATTATGTCATACAGTGCTGGAACATTTGATGAAATTGTTCTCAGTTAATTGGAAGGTTGATAATGTCCTGCATAAATTCATAGGTTTCAGTAAATGGCGGGCATCAGGTATGTTAGCTGCATGCGTCCACTACTATTGGCAACAGTTGACAAGGCAATACAATAGAGAGATGGACTCAGAAAATAATTGATTGGTTTGCAAGCTTCAGTGACAGAGAAGGGAGCATCTAGATATTTAGAGACTTGCAGAGTTAGAAGATATGGCTGATGCTTATCTTCAGCTGTATAAGATAAAACTGAGATTGATGTTTAATCAAAAAGATAAATTAAAAATCTCAAGATAATGACACAATCAGGACTGTAGCCATCACATCTTTATTGAAACATCTCAATAAATCAAAGTGTCTCAGTAAACTCTCTCAACTGAACAATTTCAATGTCTGGACAAAGAGATAAGGGTATAGCTCTCTGATCGAAACCTGGAAGGAGTCCTCCACCCTTTTCCATATGATAGATAGGTGACAAAAATCTGATTGGATGACAGGTGAAGGGAGGTTAATCAGATTTAAATGGCCCACTAACAAGCCCATAAAAACCCCTAAACTTAGAAACTCTGGTGGCAGGCATCTCAGGGGCTCACTAGGTTAAGCGTTTGCCTTAGGCTCAGGTGATGATCCCAGGGTCCTGGGATTGAGTCCTGTGCCAGGTTTCTGGCTGAGTGAGGAGTCTGCTTCTCCCTCTACCCCTCCCCTCTGCTTGATCTCTCTCTCTCTCTCATGCTAGTGTGCTCTCTCTCAAATAAATAAATGATAATTTTTTTTAATTTTTATTTATTTGACAGAGAGAGACACAGTGAAAGAGGGAACACAAGAAGGGAGAGTGGGAGAGGAAGAAGCAGGCTTCCCACAGGGCAGCGACCCTTACGCAGGGCTCCATTCCAGGACCCTAGGATCATCACCTGAGCCAATGGCAGACACTTAATGGCTGAGCCACCCAGGCACCCTAAATGAAATCTTAAAAAAAAGAAAAGAAACTCCAGTGGCAACCCCTTCAGGTTCCCTCCCTCCTTGGGAGCTTTGTACTATCACTTTGCTGTTGCTCAATAAAACTTACTTTGCTGCCCACCACTCTGGCCTACCACTTAGTTCTTTGAAGAGGTGCGACCAAGAACGACAGGCAAAAGGTGGAGAAAAAAATTCTGCAACAGTAAAATCTTCATAATAAATGAATTGGAGCTGTTTTTTATAACTTCACTCCGAGACTTGTGCCCTCTAGATTTCTTGTTCCATTGTTTGATTTAGTTTTGTGAATAATATTTAAATATAAAAATATATAAATAGTAGTTGTCTAAATTAAATGTAAGTTGTACTGTGAATAGCTCTAAGAAAAGTCTAAGCAGTATATTAATAGCACCCCTCAAAAATGATTTTTCTTGCAGAGTTTCCCTAAAAATTTAAGCCTAGAAAATTCTGGGAGGTATATTGCTTATATGTTGTTATTAATTTGTGACAGTAAAGAAATGGTTTCTTTCTTATTTTTTAGAAATGGTTTCTTTAGAGAGGAATAATTTGGTAAGTGAGCCGTGGAATATGATAATAATACAAATTGAAGGCAGCATCTTATATTTTTTACTCTGTTTGCATTTAGGCATTTAATTATTTTGCTAGCAGATAAATTGACAACTGTTGTTGTTTTTCTGATAATGCAAATACAAATTATACCTCCACTTGTTAATGAAGATTCTGTAGCTATCTATCCTTAATCTAAAAATAAATATGTTCTTCCACTATATTATGGTTACTTAGCATAAACTATTTAATTGTAAAATTTCTATTAGAAAAATAAGAACATATTTTAGTCTGTGAAAGTTTACTTCCCCTGTTGTAAATCTCAAAGCTTCACATACTGTCATTAATTTAAATCAAATACCTGAAGAACTTTATGTACAAAATTCAATGAATAGTAAAAAGCAAAGAAACTCCAACAATTTGTGTATTTATTTATTTATTTATTTGAAAGAGAGAGAGAGTACAAGCAGGTGGAGGGGTAGAGGGAGAAGGAGAGATTCTCAAGCAGACTCCCAGCTGAGTGTGGAGCCTGATCCTGGCTGGATCCCACAGCCCTGGGATCATGACTGGAGCTGAAATCAAGAGTCTGACATTTAACCGACTGAGCCACCCAGGCACCCCAAAACTAACAATTTGAAATAGTGACACTCATTTTCACTGAAATCTTCTGGTCAAACAATATTTTAGGAAAACTGCATATTTACAATTTTTGGAAAATCATACCATACACCTAGATCATCAAATTAGAATTTTTTTTAGAATAGCTATGTTCTATTCTTCTGTTATTATTTATTCTCTCTCTGAAATTTCTTTTTTTTTTTAAAGATTTTATTTATTTATTTGTCAGAGAGAGAGAGAAAGCACAGGCAGACAGAATGGCAGGCAGAGGCAGAGGGAGAAGCAGGCGCCCTGATGAGCAAGGAGCCCGATGTGGGACTCGATCCCAGGACGCTGGGATCATGACCTGAGCCGAAGGCAGCTGCTTAACCAACTGAGCCACCCAGGCGTCCCTCTCTCTGAAATTTCTATCTCCTCTATGAATCCATACGCTCATTCATTCATTCAACATATAGTAAGTGCCCACTATATATTACTCCTCATGCTGAGTGCTTAGGATAAGAAGAACACATTGCTGTCTTTCTTCAGCATCTTCAAGTCTAGTGGGGCTAGGACTATCATTATTACAAAGCTTTCTGATAAGCGCTACAATAGACACGATATATGACTTAGAATACTGGATACATAGTGTCCTAGTGTCCTAGCCAAGATCAAGAATGTAAATTCATCTTTGGAAATGTTAAGTCTGGTATACCTCTGAAATACCCAATTAGAGATGTTCTGAAGGCTGGCAGAAACATCACTCTTCAGCTCAACAGAGAAGTTTGGTCTACAGGTACAATTTAAAAGGAAAGGGGATATAAGTGACAGTTATTGGGAACTGATGAGCTTGTTCATGAGGAATATGTGTGAAGGAAAGTGTAATGAGAGAAGAGGGTTAATGCTAAAACCCTAGAGAATATGAATAAAATGGGGACCAGGCCAGGAGGGAGGAATCAGAACAGCAAAGATAGATCAAGTCAGAAATGGAGGCAGATAAATATTTTATACCAGTCAGGGTTTAACCAAAGAAACAACTTCTAGGAAATATGCATACTTAATAAGGAATTTATTACAAGGAATTGACATTATGCAATTGTGGGAGCAGTATCTTATTGCGGTCTGGAGTCAACAGGGGAGGCAGTCAGTAAGGGAAGAGGAACAGGAAGTCAGAAGCAAAAATACACTAGAACCTGTGAGGATAGCTGGAACCCATAAGGACAGAGAGACCCTATTTCTAGAGCCCTTTGTCACAGAATTAGCTATAAGCCTAGTTCAGGAATATAGAAACTAAAGAAGGAATTTGACAAGAAAAAGAAAACTACGAGATGCCCTAAGAAAATCTCACACATTCTAGACATATTCCTCCTTGCCTTCATTGAGTTGTAGTATCCCAGTTTCTCTTGCTAATCAAAAGAACCACCCAAGCTAATAGAGTAATAGAGTTCTCTTTCCTTGAAATTATGACTTCTAGACCAGTGAAGCCACAGTTGCAGGGATGTAAGTCATAATTTTACTAGTGGATCATTAGGGAAAGCTAGAAGGACCACTTCCATATTGTCTCTCACTACTGTACTTCAGAGTCAATCCAGACTGGGATTATAGTGCTACAGCTGCCCACTTTGGAATATTGATAGCATTTGATACAGAACCATCTGTAAAACAGGCTCAAATATGTCTGTCTTAGTTAATTGGTCATAGGCAATGCTCCATACCATAGGTGCAGGTTGAGAGGGGACCACAGAACATGGCATACAACTTATGCTTTCAGGACCTGCCCAAATACATCTGGTGATCGTTTCCATTTGGTAATGAAATGTTGCAGTATATATTCAATCTTACAGCTTTGTTGGTCAGATAAGACCCAGTTCATGACAGATAACTGAAGTAGTATGGTAATTTGCTTCCAACTCCAACAAATCTTCTAGGGTATACATCTCAGGTGAAGTACAATTTGTGTGGGAGCCCAAACCTGTTGCAGGACCCTGCCCAAAACTAACAGCTTTTCAGGTTGCTCACTAAATGGATCAGGGTAGCACACACAGATGAGGTAATTGTTGCCTCCAAAATTCAAAGAGGCCAACCTAATAGTAAAGCATCTTTGTGATAAGAAGAGCCAAATGCAATAATCTGTCCTTTGGAAGAACTATGTTGACATGTCCCAGACCACTGGAACCCTAGAAATTTCACGGAGGTGGCAGAAACCTGATTTTTGGTCAGATTTACTTCTCACCATCTGGCCTATAATTATCTTACCAATGTTCTAAGTAGTTGTTACTTCTTTCTTACTAGGTCCAGTTACCATGATACCATCACTGTAACTGACAAACATGAATTTCTGTGGAATAAAGAGATGATCAAGACTCTGTAATAGGGCTGCAGAGTTGATGTATTCATGAGGTAAGATAGTCAAAGTGTGAAAAGCAAACTACTTTTGTTGGTCTTTAATAACAGCTATAGATGTGAAAACATTTACTAGCCCAAAATTAAGGCGCCAGCAGATTTTAACCCTAGTGAGAACCCTCTTCCTGGCTTGTAGATGGAGGCCATCCTCATTTGGCAGAAAGAGTGAGCAGTGGCTCTTTTTCTTGTAAAGATACTAATCTGATCATGGGTGCTCCACCTTCATGATCTCATCTATACCTAATTACCTTTCAAGGACCCTATCTCCAAATACTGTCACATTGATGGGTAGGGCTTTAAAATATAAAGCGGGGGTGGGGAGGGAGGGTGGGGCACACAATCGTTCAGTCCATAATAGCTACCAAACCTTCAAGGTATAGATAATTCTTATGCTATTAAATTCGTCCCATATCTTTGAAAAAGGAATCTTTCAAATTCACATTACAAAATAAACATTAACCTCATAATAAAACTTGACAAGAATAGTCCACCCAGGTTTCCTTTAATCCCAACCAGTCTAATAACAACAGCTTTATCAAAGAAATACCAGATCCCTCAAAATGTGGAGCCCTAGTGAAATATGAGTTAAAATTACTTGATTTAGAAACTGTTCATAGACTTTCACTTCCAGGGTTGGCAGACTACATATGTTATTCAGGCAATGCAGACTTTTTCTGTTCAAAGACATTGAAGAGTGTGGGGGTGTTGAATAATGTCCACTAACATTATTTGTGAACACCTGGAACCTCAGAATGTGAAGTTATTTGGAATTAGGGTCATTGCAGATGTAATTAGTTAGGGTCACGCTTGATTAGTATTAGTTAAGCTTATACTTAATTAGAATAGGCACTAAATCCAATGGCTGATTTTTTTATAAGAAAAGAAGGGAAGACATAGACACATGGAGAAGTCCACGTAAAGACAAAGACAGAGATTGAAGTTATGCTACCACAAGCCCAGGAACACCAGGATCCACTAGGAACTGGAAGAGACAGGGAAAGATTCTCCCCTAGAGTTTTTGGAGAAGTGTCGCCCTGTCAACACCTTGATTTCAGATTTCTGACCCCCAGAACCATGAGAAAATAAATCCCTACTGTTTTAAGCCACCCAATTGTAATAATTTTTATGGTAAACTTTAAAACTAAAGCAGATTTTGGTACCAGAAGTCAGTTGCTCCTATAACAAATACCTAAAAAAGAGGACGTGCCTTTGGAATTGAGTAATGGGGGAGGTTGGAAGAATTTTGAAGTGCATAATAGAAAAATCCTAGATTGTCTTGAAGAGACAATTGGTAAAAATAGAGACATCAAAGGTAATTCTGATGATGGTTCCGTTGGAAATGAAGAACACAGTAGAGAAAGCTTCTATCATCTTAGAGAATACACATATTGTCATTAACAGAATAGTGGTAGAATTATAAATATTAAAGGTGCTTCTGGTGACAGAAAGAAATGAGGCCAATATTATTGGCCATTGGAAAAAAGATGATCTTTGTTATAAGCGCCAGACAACTTGGCTAAATTGTGTCCTTTTTGGGGTATAAAGTAGAATTTGTTACTGATGAATTTGGATATTTAGCTGAGGAGAGTTCCAAGTAAAGTGTTAAATGTACAGCCTTGTTTCTCCTTGCTACTTATAGTAAAATGCAAGAGGAAAAGACTTAAGTAACTATTAAGCAAAATGGAGATAGTGCAAGAGACACAAGCAATAGATAGCATCCAAAATACATGAAACTGAAGTCCTGAAGACGACTAAGATTTTTAAGACAAAAAAAATTTGGAGATATAATAACTAAAGATTGTTTCAAATCTGATCTAGGATATCAAATTAAAGACTCAAGACTCTCGTTAAGTATCCTATAGAAGAGAAAAAAAACAGATCTAAATACATTGCTGATGAGAGTATAAATTGGTAGTACAGTTTGAAAGTCTGCTTGATTTTTTGCACCAAAATTGAATATTTGAATACTATATGATCCAGTAATTTCACTCTGAGATGTAAACCCAACAGTAATGTGTGCTTATGTGCACCAAGAGACACAAACCAGAATGCATATAGAATCATTTATAATAGCCTTGAGCTAGAAGGAGCAAAAATGTTAATCATGGGCAAATGAGTAAATAAATGTAATACATTCAAGTATGTGATTCCACATTGCAAATGAACTACAAGTACACTCAATAACATAAATGATTCTCACACAAAAAAAATTAGTCAAAGAAACCAGAAACAAAACAGCATTGTGTGAGTCCATTTATATAAAATTTAAAAATAGTATTAGACTAGGGATAATGACTAACTTTATAAGAAGTAAGGAATATTAATTGAGGAGGCTCAGGAGAGGCTTCTTTGGTCTTGGCATGGTAGAGTTGGTTTTGTTTTTTTTTTTTTTTAAGATATATTTGTTTATTTGAGAGAGAGAGAAAAACAGAGAGCGAGTGAGAGAGAGAAGCAGCCTCCCTGCTGAACAGAGAGCCTGACAAGGGGCTCAATCCCAGCACCCTGAGATCATAACTGAGCAGAAGGGAAATCCTTAACCAGCTGAGCCACCAAGGCGCCCCTTGGCATGATGTTTGCTTCTTGATAATCCTTTAATCTGTACACTTATTTATTTTTCCCTTTTCTCTGTTATGTTTCCCAATAATTTCTTCAAGCTGAGTTGTATAGATTTAGAACAATGTTAGGGAGTTTGCTTATGATTGTCACTTAAAGATATGTTGGATTAAAAAAGAACAGAAGAGGGCACCTGGGTGGCTCAGTGGGTTAAGCCTCTGCCTTCAGCTCAGGTCATGATCTCAGGGTCCTGGGATCAAGCCCCGCGTTGGGCTCTCTGCTCAGCGGGGAGCCTGCTTCCTCCTCTCTCTCTGCCTGCCTCTCTGCCTACTTGTGATCTCTCTCTCTGTGTCAAGTGAATAAATAAGATCTTAAAAAAAAAAAAAAAGAACAGAAGGTATCATTTATGCATTTTTGTTTGTTTGAAAGCTTCTCTGTAGCTTTTGTGTTGATGACATGAAACCTGTCTCTAACTAACCTTATTTGTCTCTCTAACATCCAATATTGTTCATTTTATGATGTTGCTTCACTGATGCTGTCTTTGCCCATCTGCTTTGCTTTCTTGGGACTTGCCCCTTGTGAAACACGGCTCCTAAGACTGCCATTCATATGCACTGAAAAATAATTAAAAACCTTAGCTTGTCTAAGAGATCTGTCTAATAAACAGCTATTATAGCAAAAGTTTTTAAAAGATTTTATTTATTTATTTGATAGAAAGAAATCACAAGTAGGCAGAGCAGCAGGCAGAGAGAGAGTGGGAAGCAGGCTCCCTGGTGAGCAGAGAGCCCTATGCTGGTCTCAATCCCAGGACCATGAGATCATGACCTGAGCCAAAGGCAGAGGCTTAAGCCACTGAGACAGCCAGGTGCCCCTGTTATAGCAAATACTGAAGTACTTACCTCTCCCTTTTATTTTTTCTTCAGACAGAACAAATACTGATAACATTTCACAGTTTTGTGTTAGTTTTAAAAAGAGCTATGTTACTATGTTACTATGTTACTATGTGAATGATTCATGAAAACCCTGTGCTTGATTAAAGCATCCAGACATGGGATGCGTGGGTAGCTCTGTTGTTAAGCATCTGCTCTTGGCTCAGGTCATGATGCTAGATCCTAGGATCATAGGACCTTGGAATCAAGCCCCGTGTCAGGCTTCCTGCCCAGCTTCTCCCTCTCCCACTCCCCTGCTTGTGTTCCCTCTCTCGCTGTGTCTCTGTCAAATAAATAAATAAAATCTTAAAAAAAGAAAAAGAATATAGACACATGAAACCGCACATTTTTTATTCCATTTATATGAAATATCTAGAATAGGCAAATCCACAGAGACAGAAAGTAAATTATTGATTGCCAGGGACTAGGAATAGGGGAAATGTGAAGTAACTGCTAATGGGTATGATGTTTCTTTCTGGAATAAGTAAATGTTCTAGAATTAGATAGTGGTAATTGTTATACAACTTTTGAATATGCTAAAAACTGCTGAATTCTATACCACAAAGGGGTAAGTTTTATGGTATGTGAATTATATCTCAATAAAGCTGTTATAAAAACTCAGCATTGAGCTAAGTACCTTTCTTATTTTTTATTTTTTTAAAAGGTTTATTTATTTATTTTAGAGAGAGAGAGAGAGAGAGCGCAGACCAGGGAGAAGGGCAAAGGGAAAGGGGAAACAGACTCCCTGCTGGGGTCAATCTCTGATGGCAGATCATGACCTGAGCCAAAACCAACAGATGCTTAAGGGAGTGGGCCTACACAACTACAACTACACAACTACACAACTCAAGCACTTTTTAAAAAAAGTAATCTTGTTTAGATATATCTAGAGAGATGATTGACTGCTTAAGGTACAAAGATAAGATAATTTATTTTCATGATAGTCTTCTGTGCATTTATTTTTTTTTACTGTACAGACATACTAGCTGTGAAAAACTAACTTAAAATATTTTCATTATTATTCATTTGTTAAATATGTAGAAAGTTTTTATTCATGTAATACTATAGTAGATCTTTGCTGCCTAAATCCTCCAAGAAGATTCTGTAGTCAGTATATTTTACATAATTTGAAAAGGATGATCATCAGTGAACACTTTATTACAAAACATTGAAAGGATTTTAAGTTCCCCGACATCCAAAGTTGTAGTTAAGAATTCTGATTTGAACCTAATTCCTATTTCTTTGTAGATATTCTGTCTTTTCTCTAAAGGAAAATTTAGAATTCTCTTGAAGTTCAGAAATCTGAGCACACACTTTTCTTCATTAATATTGCTTTCTCTCAAATGTCTCTGAAAATATTAATTATGGCAAGATAATATGAGCTATGGGCTCTCTGCAGGGGATATTCTTTTTTTTTTTTTAAGATTTTTTTTTTTATTTATTTATTTGAGAGAGAGGCAGTGAGAGAGAGCATGAGCGAGGAGAAGGTGAGAGGGAGAAGCAGACTCCCCGTGGAGCTGGGAGCCCGATGCGGGACTCGATCCCGGGACTCTGGGATCATGACCTGAGCCGAAAGCAGTCGTCCAACCAACTGAACCACCCAGGCGTCCCTGCAGGGGATATTCTTAAAGTATCATAAATGATGGCTAGCTGCTGGCTTGTGTGAGTACCAACCTACTTCAATATTTCTTTTTTCAACTTAGCATCCTGTCATAACAAATACTTATTATAAAAAGCTGGCCTTAAATAGGTACCTTATTCCAGGTTATCATATGTAATAATGTAAACAACTCTTTCATCGTGTATGCCTTGGATTGCCCAAATCTTATTTTCCACTGGTAATAAAATCACCACTGTGTTTTGACCTACACCAAGTGAAATAATAAATTTTAAATTCCCATTTTGAGGTTTTACTTGTATATTTTCTGAACGTCTTTCTGTACTAAACACTGCATCAGACAAGGTTTCCGTAGAGGAAACAGAAACCACTCTAGGTATATTATGCTGAAAAGAAATTTAGTGCATATAAAGTCATTTGAAAGGCTGGAAGGAAAGTCAGGGATCCAATCAGACTTTAGTTTGAAGATCATACACTTGTAGCTGTGATCTAGAAGTCAGAAAATGAGTGTAGCTATCGTTGCTAACCTTTTCCAGAACTGTTCCTTCACCATAACCTTATACCTGTGAAGCTGGCTGAGTAGATGCCAGAATGTGGATTCTATCTTCATAGATAATGAAACTTGTTTTGTTGCTGCTGCTGCTGCTAAAAGTAGATGGCCTCTGCCTTCCTTTTACCTTCTAAATCTCATGGTGTACACAGAAGCCTGATATATCTGAATAATGTAATTGTTTTAAAGGTTTTTAAAACTTTAGTTCCTCTCGTGTTGTTAGTTTTACTTTAATAATTAATGAAGCTTACTGGCCTATATGTCTGTATACATAGATTGCATGGTATTGGTAGCTAGAATTTATATACCTTGCCTAAATAAGAAGCCCTGTTCACTGGGTAGGTAATGAATGCAAGCTCTGTTTAATGAATGCAAGCTCTGTTTACAGACGTCCAGTGCTCCAATGGTTATAGTGGGTGGGAAGAAGGTCCGTTGTATGGGGAGGGTGCATGGGACTGAGTAGGCTGTCCTTTATGGTTTATGAATATTTGTAATGCTAGATTTTTCTATTTCCTGTGGCAGTTGATAGTCACTGGGCTCACTATCATTCTTTCTCTTATAAAGCTAGTGCCTGTTCTGAAAATTTCTGGAGTCAAACTTCCCACTTATTAGAACTGAATTTGAACTTTTATTCCAGAGAAGAAGCTGAAAACAGTTGTTGTGTGACTTCTTCGTTTTAATGAAACACCCAGATTGTTGTCCAAGTCTTAGTCCTTTTTAAAGGCCTTATTATCTCTCATCTGAGGGTTACGCAGATACTTTATAGGAAAATCTCACTTCACTAACTCCTTTTTCTCACCTGGATGAAATTATTAGCTTCTTAGTTTGGTGGGTGTTGTTGGCAATCTGAGCCTACTTCTGTAACTATCAAAATTCCTTAATAGCCTTCAAAAGTTTGCTCATGACATTCCTCCAGTGTTTATAGCAGTACTATGGCTTTATGGCCTTATTTCTATTTTTATATTTATTCTGTAACTTCAGTGAAATTTGGGAAGGGTAGAAAGATAATTCACGTGTTCAATTACCCTTTGTGAACCAGATACATTATCCTTAGATTTATAACAAACTGATTTGTGTTTTCCTGGATTAGAAAAATTAATCAGGATCTACAGCTTCTCCCTTGAACCATATATGACAATTCAATTTTTGTTTTCATTTCTCTTATTTACTTTCCCCATGCTTCCCATCTCTTTACCTCCAAATCTCTTGGATTTGGTTATAATCTTTTCAAATTATGGTTCTTTTGGTTACCTATTCTTGCTTAATAATTGTATTACATTTCATAATTTCATTATCAATAATTATTTATATTTCATTATAATTTTTTTCTCTTCTTTTTACATTATTATGTGCATTACATGTCCTCCTAGTTCGTGTTTTTTTTTTTCCCTTCCCATTTTCTGGAGTAATTTTGGAGAGAGTCCTTTGTCATCTGCTTCTCAAAATTTTCAGTTAGTGAGAGAGGTTATTATTATCATGTCCAGATTCTAAATGAAGAATCAGAGGCTTAAAGAGTTCAAGTTGTCTTTTTAAAGGTCAAGCAAAAATTCAGTGGCAAAGCTTGGATTCAAATTCAGGTCTGCAGACTCTCTGTTCACTGTCTTTTGTTTTTCCGTTGTTGTTGTTGTTATTGTTTTCATATAGCAAGTGTCCATACAACAATATGCTCCTTACTTCACCAACTTTTGTAGGAGTAATTTGAAGGACCAGTTCTACATATAAACCTGCTTTTTATACTTGTTGATGATGCTTGTACAATCATGTTCAGTTTGATTTGTGAACATTAAGAGTATTCTTTGGCAAAATACCACACTAAGGCAGTCTGTGGTTGCAACAATTATGAAATAGTTATTTTCCCAATATGTGTACTAATGCATGAATACCTTGAATTGAATGTAGAACAAAAAGAAAAACATGATGGATTATATAACACAAGTATTTTAACAAGAAGATGGCATATCACTAGGAGATTCAAATTTTTCTGAGTTAAGAATGCCAATAGTAATTTACAATGTGTGCCTTCAAGACATATAGAAAAATATTATAGGAGATGCTAATGTAGCAGTTCATAAACAATGAAGATTCTTTATATGACAAAAATAACAGCAAAGCAATGGCCATTATGAACATAGAAGCAAAAATACTCAGCAAAATACTAGCAAAACTGAATCCAGTAACATATACACCGTGACTAAATGGAATTTGTACCAGTAATGCAAGGTTGGCTCACATATGAAAATCAATGTACTACACTATGCCGACAAAATTACAAAAGTATAAAATCCACATGATTGTTCCAATAGATACAGAAAAAGCATTTGATAAAACTCAAAACTCTTTCAAAATGAAAACAATCAGCAAACTAGAAACAGAAAAGAAGTTATTCTTTTATGAAATGAAAGCATCTATGAAAACCCACAGCTAACATCAGACTAAAACAGTGAAAGGTTGAAAGCTTTCTTTCTAAGATCAAGAACAAGACAAGGAAGTATGCCCTCACTACTTTTATTCAACAGTGTACTGGAAGTTCTAGCCACAATGATTGGGGGTGTGGTGGGGGGAGGACTTCCAGAAAAGAAAAAAAAAAAAAAGAATTCATTTCGTGTAATTTCCTGTTGTACATACCTTTTTGGCTAGCATCCCATTGGCCAGAACTTAATTATGTAACCACATATAACTTCAAGAAGATTAGGAATGTAGTCTCTATTCTTGAAAAACGCGTCTAGTGGGGCACCTGGGTGGCTCAGTCAGTTAAGCATTAGACTCTTAATTTGAGGTCAGGTCATGATCTCAGAGTCCTGAGCTTGAGCCCTGTGCTGGGCTCTGGGCTCCTCCCCGCTGATCTCTCTCTCTCTCTCTCTCAGGTAAATAAATAAGTAAAATCTTTTCAAAAAAGAAGAAAAGGAAAAAGGAAAAACTTGTGTCTAGTTAAAATTTGGGACTTTTATTTTTGGAGGCAAGGATAATAGGTATTGGGAAACATCTAGCAGTTTCTTCCACATTAAATACAAATCAAAAAGCAATTCACTATTTGAATTTCTTTTCTTTTTCTCTGTTTCTTTCCTTCCTTCTTTTTTTCCTTTTTGTCTTTTTTTTTTCTTTTAACACATGTATTGCAAAGGTTAAAAAGATTGCTAATTTAAATACAACATGGTCCTCTGGATTGGATCTTGGAGCAAAAGAGGACATTAGTGAGAAAACTAGCAATATCCAAATAAAGTTTGCGGTTTAATAATATTGTACTAACGATCATTTCTTAGAATTGTAAATGTAACGTGGTTATGCAAGATGTTGACATTAGTGGAAGCACGGTGAGGAGTATATACAAGCTCAGTATTATTGTTCATTTTTTCATAAATCCAAAACTACTTAAAAATTAAAAGTTAAAAAAATGATTATGAATACTCAACGACCAGGGGTTTGGAAAGAATCCTCATGTACTCTTGGTGATAATATATATTAGTACAGCCTATTTTTAGAGAGCAATTAGGCAATGTTTGTTAAATATAAATATGTTTACATTTTTTTATTCAGAAAGTTTATTTCTAGCAGTGGCCCATGACAGCAAGATGGTAGTGCAAATTTCCAAAAAGAGAACTTTGTTTCCAATGGCATCTTTAAAGCTGAACTGAATGAATTTCTCACTTACGAAATGAGTGATGTCTGAAGATGGCTACTCTGGGGTTGAGGTCTGAATTATAGCAACTAGGAGAGAAATCAATATCTTGGCCATTAGGACACAGAATGTTCTTGGTGAGAAGGGCCAGCAGATCTGGGAATTGACCACTGGGTTCAGAAGAGGTTTGATTTGCGGGGTGCAGGGTAGAACTTTAAATTGAAAAGGCGACCACAAGAGGTTTGTGTGCTATTACTAGGACAGAGTCTCTCTGATACAGACTCCTAGGAGGACTTGCTGTGCAGAGGGCCTGCTATAATGTATGGCAGTTCATCATGAAGAGTGGGGCCAAAAGCTGTGAGATCTTGGTGTCTGAGAAAGTGCAAGGACAGAGGGCTAAATTTATGATGTTTGTAGATAGCCTGATGATTCACAGTGGGAACCCTAACTACTATGTTGACACTGTTGTTACCATGTGCTCCTCAGATAGGATGTGCTAAGCATCAAAGTGAAGATCATGCTTTCCAGGCACCCAAGTACTAAGATTGTCTCTAAGAAGCCCATGCTTGATCATGTGAGGGTTGTGGAACCCAAAGATGAGATATTGCCTACCACCCCCATCTTGGAACAGAAGGATGGGAATCTAGAGCGTCCTGCTATGCTGTGCTGCTGCCAGTACCCACAGGATAACAGGGCGTCCTTGGCAGCTGGATCTGGAGTCTGGATTTTGCTCTGTAAAGACCTTTCATAAAATCTCTGGAAAAAAAAAAAAAGATAATCTACTTCTAGGATTTTTTCTTATAGAAACTTAAATGCTAGCTTTTGGAGTGTCTTTTTCCTTTTAGATAATTCAGCATAATTCCTCCCAATGAATCTAGGAGGAGAGTGGAATGTTTGGTTCTCTAACCTCAGAAGTAAAACAATCCTTAGTATGGTTAATGTTTGAAATAGAATGGAAATTAAGTTCCCAAAGTGGAGCTGGCCAAATAATTAATTTTCTAGGCTTTTAACTGGAGGAATAACAAGTCTGAAGGCCAGTGGGGAGTATTAAGGATTAGATGCCACCTCTGGATCTTGAGAAAATGAGGTGTGGGAGGCTGAGTGACCTCCAACTGAGAGGGCTGCAGGGTAACTTTCCATTTTAGACAAGGACACAGAAAGGAAGAGGGTTTACTAAGTAAGTTTTAAATTTCAGGAATGTAAGTTTCTATAGCACTGTGGAAAGGTTTGAGGGGCACATAGCAGTGGATGAGGGACTAGAGATTCTTAGAGATTGGAAGAGTTTACATTTTTGGCAGGGATAAGGGAAACAGAGAGATGAGCTTGCAATATAATTTATACAACTACTGTTATGGTGGAATGTCCTGGGACATTAGAAGTAGTCCAGCTTTCGGGGAATCTAACTAGGTAATCCTAGCCCTGAGCATTTGGACATGACCTTTCCTTGGTCTGGAACACTTCTGTCTCCTTTTCTCCTTTCTCCTTTTCTCCTTTTTTCAGGTAAGTTCAGACTGTGTCTGGTTCTATCACTTTCTCCAGGAAGCCTTCCCTGAATGCCTTCTCTCTTCTTAGCATGTGTGTTCTTAACTCTGGTAGCCTCACAATATACAGCAATTGTCTGACCCGTTTTTTATCCTTACCTGTACCTTAAGTTCTGGAACGGAAAAGACAACTATCTTGCAGTCCTTCCACCTTCTGTGTAATTATTCCATAAATTATACTATTTTGTGTAAATATTTGCTATTTTTTGTCAAATTTAATATTATAAAATTCAATTCCAGTTCACAAAATAATTCAACACGTTTCTTTAAAGAGTAAGCTCCACTATTGCATTATATGATTTGATTCCCACATATTTATTTTCCCACGTTACAAACACTACCACTCCATGTTTATGTGTGGAATAAACTAGTGAACTGAATCAACTTCATCCAAATCCTTTCTCTATCTATACGTAAACTTTTGTCAAGTATTAATGCTAGTCAGATTCTAACATTTTAATATTGTTTAAAAAGTATTTATCCTGTACGTAAATAAATGTGGCGTTTGAAACTGTTGAAGGACTGCCATATCCAGTTGTACAGGACTGCCATATCCAGTTGTATATACTGACCTGCGTTTTTACAGATTTAAAAATTCAGCTTAAAAAATAAATTCCCTAAGTGAATGCAAGGCATTATTTCACATCTACGTGCACACACATCCTGACGTAACACATGATATACTTGTGAAATGGATTATTTCCCCCTAAATGTATTCTCAGTAAAATTAAATACTTTTTTTTAAAGTGGAAATGACTGTCCACAGTACACTCGTTGTAATAATAGTTAATTAATATAACTAAATTAATGGTTTTCCCCCTCTCGTCGCAGTTGTAATTTTCAAAGTAGTGAAGTCTAATGCGATTCTCACATTTCCCTCTTTCAGGAAATAAGATATTCGCACGTTCCAAAATATTTAAAGGGTTGCAATTTACAGAGGCAGCAGGTAGAATGTTGCTGTTGGTATTACTAATGTTTGTGGTAGTAACTTAAGCTAGAAACGGCTCTTTCTGTAAAGAGTACTCTGAGCAACTCCTTAAGAAACCAACACCAGTAACGAACATTGGCCTCCCACAGACTTGGGCAGGGGGTGGAGCCTCAGTGATTTGAGGGAAGAGCCGCTCAGGGTCCGGGAGGGCACTCTGCTCCTGCTCGTCACTACTCGGCTCCGCTCGGTTCCCAATCGGTTCTCTCTCGGATCTGTTCGGCTCCTCCAACAGGAGAGACGGAGAGCCGCTGCCAAGTCCGGCGCACGCGCTCAAGCCTCTTGCTGTTCTTAGGGCCGCGCTTTGCCTTGGGTTTTCACTTCCTTCTCTTCCGAGCTGTATCCGGGTCGTTGCTTTCTCTATTGTCTCAGGCAATCGACCTCGGACTGTGCAAATTCATTTCTGGGTCTTTTGTTTCTTCTGGTGCAGGCTAATAAAGTTTTTCTTTCTTTTATTTTTTCTAACAGTTTTAACGGAGGAAATTAACTCCCCAGAGCTGCCGGGGCCTAAGGGAGCCTCTGGCAGTGGAGCGCCGTGGGAAGGGGCGCGAGCAGCCGGGTCCGGTTCGGCGAGGACTAGGGGGCGGGGTGGGGGGCGGGAGGGGCTGCTCTTGAGGCGCCCGGGTCCGGTCGGCGGCGCTGCAGCCGATTTTAAGTAGCATCTTTCGGATTTGTTCCCGCGGTATCAGTCCAGACCTCAGCGCTGCCTAGGCTCTCGCAGCCTCTCCCTAGGTCTCCTCCAAACGACCACCTCACGGATTCCTTAGTAAGTGTGTCAGAGGCCTCTGCCGGGAGAAAGGTGCATTTCAGCCCTTCTAGAAGTCAGGGCCTGTGGGAGCAGGGTGGGGGTGGCAGGTTTCTGCTGGAAGCTGGACCTTTCGTGGGAGCTTCCCTTCCACATCTGCGGGAATGAACAAGGCTTTTGTCACTAGGGCTTCGCGTTTTCTTTCTGCTGACTGTCTCCGTGTCTAAGTGAGGGATTTTGAGCGAGTCGCTGAAACATAAGAGGATGTTGTTACGGGGGTCAGCTTTGATTTTGGCTGGCCGGGGTTCGCCTTTGCCTCTCCCCAGCCTGGAGCCGCCTGTGCTGCTGGCCAGCCCTCCCCAGACCGTGTGCCCACCCCAAGCGAGCTTCCTACACTTTTTTGCTGAGAACTGAAGTAGACAAAGATTCCCTGCTCGAGGTCATCTGTATCTTCCCTTAGCATCACCGCTGTCTTCTGTGCTTGGCGTGATTATTAATGACGATGTAATGTTTTTCTCTTAACAGTGGATCGCAGCTCCAAGAGGAGGCAGGTGAAGCCTTTGGCAGCTTCTCTGCTAGAAGCTCTCGATTATGATAGTTCAGATGACAGTGATTTTAAAGTTGGAGATGCCTCAGGTAAATGTTTCTTTTCCTTCCCTTTTCCCAGCTTTCTGAAAGTTGGGCTTATTTTCAGACCCTCTTAAAAAATCGGTTTTGATTAAAATGCCGATTTAAAGTTAAAGCACATAAACTTCATTTATTTTCTCACATTTCCCTAAGATCCTTTCACTAGATCCCTATCATTTCTTCTGTTTATATTGATACTCAGATATTAACAGGTAGAAAAGAACTTAGAGTATAGATACCAGAGCGTTTTCTCTGTTCTTTACTCAAAAATAATTTATGCTTATTTTATGGATAGAGGGAAAAATATATATATAAATATCTGGAAGTCAAATAATATCCTGAGAGTAATGTGAGCCATGAACAGCCCATAAGCAGGGTTCTTCTCTATTCAGATCACTTGGCACCCTCTGAGGGGAGTTTTGCTTTTTGTCTATTAGCTTATCAGAATAAAGTTGACCAGAGTAAAAAGTTGTACTTTGTGGTAGGTGTTGGACCTTGTGGATTGGGCTTTTCAGAAATCTCCTAAGCACAAAGATATATGCTTACTCATTATATTTTGTGATTTTAAAAACAAACTTTTTAAAAAAGGTCATATGTTCACATTGTACGAGATTGGAAAACATAGAAAAATACGGTTTTCCATGGTATCTTCTGTTTATTGTACTTCACATGTATAGATATATATGTATAGTTCTAATTGCAAGAATCTGAGAAATGCATATAAATTGTTTAAATATTTTATATGAGAAATACTAATGCATACATGCACAATAAAAATTACTTATAATTTTGCCCCTTCTGATGGGAGTTTAAATAAAGTAAGAAATTAAAGACTTTTCAGTTTCATCCCTTTAATAATTTTAAAGTATTCCCCCAGAGAGTTTTCTGTGCTTAGTCATATCTCTCTCCTTTCTGTTGCTCTTTCTTTTTCTTTCTTTCTTTCTTTCTTCCTTTCTTTTGCTGGGGATGGTAAGAGATGAAATTAGGTTGTGTTATGTTTCCATTATTACTCTAAATAGCACCAACAAGTAGAATTTGCATGGTGATTTACTGAGAACTTTTTATTACTGTAATCTCATTTAACTTTTATAATAGCTTAGTGAAGGAGATATTATTTTACAGATAACATGGGACTTGAGTTTAAAGAACTTGCAGGAGGTCACTTAGGCCATAATGGGTGTAATCCATGCCTTTGATGCCAAAATTTAAGTCTTTTTGCTCCTTAGATCTTAAAAATAATTAGATGTAATCTTAAACTGAAACTACTTGGATATTGTGGCTAATTGAGGTCACTCCCAACAATCAAAAGTTAAGTTTATCTTGATTAATTGGTTTTTAACCTTTGCTTCTTAGCCAGTTTCTCTCCAGTTTAGTCAATTCACTGATGTTTGGTACTTCCAAAGAAAGAAAGAAAGGGAAGGGAGAGGAGCCAAAACTCTTTAAGTTCTCTTGTTGAGAATCTTGGTAGATGATATTTTTGGTTAGAATGTAGTTTTGGTAGAGATTAACTGTGACAACAGTTATTGGGTTTCAGAGGTTATGACTTATTTGAATACCATTATGAAAAAACTCCAAAGCTTAATCTTTAGGTATTCCATAATTGTTTCTGTGACAATAAATCCTGACTTTGTAGATTTTTTTTCTTTTTGTTTATCGAATTATAGTCATGCACAGGTATCCTGTTTCCTTACAAAGGTTAAAACAATCTAATGATACAAACTGTTTTTCAGGATAACTTCTGGTTTCAAGCTAAGTGAAAATTCCTGACCTTGTTAAATCTTAATCAGAGTTGATGGGAATTATCAATTATGTGTGAAAAGTGGGAGGATGAGTTTTTTAGACTGATAATTTTTTAAAATATCTTTTTAAAGTGCTAAAAAAGTACTTTCTATTCCCTCTTGTTATCATATCTAGTCTGCTCTATTTGTAATTTACTTCCTTGGTTACTGTGTAGTTCTTGTTATGTTACTGCAAAGGAGATTATAGTAGTAAATGATTTTGTTTAAAATAGTTAATAGTAGAAATTGAATCCTATTTTCCATTCTAGGTTAAGGTGCATCGGTGTCCCCCATAACCAACATGGTGGCTTACTATAGATTACCAGCGTTTCTTGTTTGAATCCTTTCTTTGCCTGAGGTAGTTGGACTCTTACAGGAAATAAAATATTAGACTTATCACTGGTTTTCAGTCATGTTAGAATTGTGGAATCCCAGCCCTTACATAGGAATAGATTAAATTGGAGGTGGAGAAATAGTAGCTAATCATCTATCTGACCAAAGCTTCTTTCAAAACAATGTCTAGAAATGACTTGTTGAATGAACTACTGACTCCCTTAGAACTTAATGTTAAAGTGATTAGATTGGTTGGCCTTAATTTTTGTTAACAGGATTCTGTGCATCAATTTCTTTTCCTTTTTGAAATCAGAAATTCTGACTATAAAATTTCCTATTTCTGTCTGGCGTTAAGAGTATAGACAATTCTGAAATATTATATTCAGCACCTTGCAGATAAACATAATTTTATTCATGTGTTTCTCAGATAACAAAATAGAAAAAGATAAATATTGCTCAAAAAATGACCTGCCGATAAGATTGTCAAGTGATTGATTATTGAAGGTTAATAAGTATAAGCCTCTGATTTTGGAAGAGTACAAACTGAAAATAGATCATCTCTCGTTTCATCTTTAATGTGAAATTAGTTAGATTTTTCTTTTTTTTTTTTTTAATTATTTATTTATTTATTTGACGGGCAGAGATCACAAGTAGGCAGAGAGGCAGGCAGAGCGAGGTGGAGAAGCAGGTTCCCCGCTGAGCAAAGAGCCCGATGTGGGGCTCCATGCTAGGACCCCAGGATCATGATCTGAGCTGAAGGCAGAGGCTTAACCCACTGACCCACCCAGGTGCCCCTCTTTTTTTTTTTTTTTTTTTTTTAAGATTTTTATTTATTCATTTGAGAGAATGAGAACAAGCAGGAAGAGGGGCAGGGGGAGAAGGAGAAGCAGGCTTCCTTGCTGAGCATGGAGCCGGTGGGGCTTAATCACAGGATCATGGGATCATGACCTGAGCTGAGGGCAGAGACTTAATCAACTAAGCCACCCAGGTGCCCTACAATTTCTCAGTTCTGATTGAGGGCAGAGTATAATCATATTAGAATTATGGTGATAGGGCACCTGGGTGGCTCTGTGAGTTAAGCCTCTGCCTTCGGCTCTGGTCATGATTCCAAGGTCCTGAGATCAAGCCCCGCATTGGGCTCTCTGCTCAGCGGGGAGCCTGTTTCCCCCTCTCTCTCTGCCTGCCTCTCTGCCTACTTGTGATCGCTCTCTGTCAAATAAATAAATAATGTTTAAAAAAAAAAAGAATTATGGTGATAGTCACCAGAAGAACCATATGTGGAAATGTTGGACCATATGAAATTACAAATTTCAGATTATTGGCAGTTTCATCATTCAGGCTAGTTAAAGTGGTTATATTTGAGACTTGGTCCTGGAATTGGAGTTAAGATAAATTATTTAGTTATCTGATATATATAAGTGGAATACACACACACACACACACACACACACACACACAGATATAAAAGATATAAGTGGAATGTCTTTGAAGATGAATGCATATATAACTTTTGTTAACCAAGACAAAATAGCAGTGTTATGTCCCCTCTAACCTGCTTGCCAGAGTAAGGTGATTAACTTTAGATCTTGATCCATAGTTAAGTTAATTAGGCCAAATTGCCAGAAAATTAGCTGGAAGAGTCTGGCTGAGACTTTGCTTTGGTGGCATTTTGTACTTAATCTAATTTTGGCTAAGTGGATCAAGATAATGGTCATTGATGATGTGTAGTTTTGTTTAGGAGCATTTTGCTGAATATTATGGTGAATTCACAAAGAAATATAATATCAGAATAACTAAATAAGTAAAATAACAGATAACGCAAAGCATGATTGATTCCTTTTGTCGTTCAAGTCAAGGAGATGGGACTACTGTAGACTGGATTTATCTAGAACAATTCACTGAGGAGATAAGAGTTGAACTAGGAACTGAAAGAGAGGCAGTATAGATGAGGGAAACTATTAAGTGTTAGAAGTGTGGAGGCTGGAAAATATCATTTATATTTGGAAATCAGGATTGAGTAAAGAGCAAAGAATAAGAGATGCACCTGGGCAAGTATAATGAGGTCAAATTAAGGCCTTTAATTGCTAGACCAGGGTTTCCCAATCTCGGCAGTGTTGGCATTTGTTGTTGTATAATTCTTTGTAAGAGGCTTTTCCTGTTTACTGTAGAATGTTTAGCAGCATCTGTTTTCGACTTACTGCCAGTAGCATCTTCCCTTCCTGCCCCCAACCCCACCTTCATGGCAATCATTCATTGTCTAAACATTGCCAATGTTCTCTTTGGGACAGTATTCCAAATTGTTCTTACTTGAGAACCGCTGGTCCAGATTTATTCAGAAAATGATAAATGACACAGCTGGAACTAGAGATGATGAGTAGAGGATGAGTTGTGTTGATTAATTGGCTTTTTTAAAAAGAGAAAATATAGGATTAGTAAAAATGGCCCCAAGGTGATAACTGAATAACCAGTAGACCAGTAATCTGTCCATTACATATTCTATATATTTATAAACACTAATTACTATTAGAATAGATCAAAGAACAGAATAGTTAATTAAGGTTGATGAACAAAGGTCATTCTTTATGTTGCAAAGCTAAAATAAAACTGAATTAAATATAATTTCGTTTCAACAAATATAAATTTGTTTAATATTTATCATGGGGAAAACTTGAGCATTGAATATTGTAAAGGAATTCTTGAAGATTGTTTTTTTAATTCTGTATCTGTAAAAAATTCCTTAACTTCTATTAGTTGAAATAGCTATTACTTAGAGAGATTTTTATATATTGTATATTTGAGAAAGGTACCTTTTATTTAACTATTTCAATTTTAAAGATTTTTTTTAAAGAAAAATTTTTATTGTAGAGTTAGATTTACTTTTTTTTTTTAAAGATTTTATTTATTTATTTGACAGAGAGAGAAAGACAGCGAGAGAGCGAATACAAGCAGGGGAAATGGGGGATGGAGAAGCAGGCTTCCCACCAAGCAGGGAGCCTGATGTGGGGCTTAATCCCAGGATGCTGGGATCATGAACTGAGCCAAAGGCAGATGCCCAACGACTGAGCCACCCAGGTGGCCCTACCTTTTTTTTTTTTTTTTTTTTTTAAAGATTTTATTTATTAGAGAGAGATCAAGAGCTCGCGAACACAAGCAGGGGAAGGGGAAGAAGGGAGAGGGAGAAGCAGACTCCTCGGCGAGTAGGGAGCCTGATGCTGGACTCGATCTCAGGACCCCGAGATCATGAGCTGAGCCAAAGGTAGTTGCTTAACCAACTGAGCCACCCAGTCATCCCAGAATTACTTCTCTTCTAATGCTAAGAAGCAACTGACTTATTTGAAGTATCTGACTTATTTCTCTAGTCTATTAACTTAAAAAAAAAAAAGATATAAGAGTGATGGATTTGGAACATGACACAGAGTCATTGTTTGAATTTGTAGTAATAAGACATTTTTCTTTGCAGCCTATAAGAATAGAATTATAGACAGCCAAAGACTGATTTTTTTTCATTGTCATTTTTGTCAAGCTATGCTTGTAACTAAATATTGTTTATCTCCATCCCTCAAGTGCATATGTATCAAAAGGAAGTGATGACTAATCAGATGAAGAAGTTATTTTTCAGAAATCAAAGCCATAAAATTTGATATATTCCTGATGCCTGCAGTTGGAGTATGGATAATATATTATATTTGGAGAATGAAGGGTTTGGTAAGCTATTAGGATTTGGATTTGTGGGAAAATTTCAGATTTATCTAATATGTTAACAGATGTAAAACATTTAAATCTTTTTTCTTTTCAAATTTATTTCTATTGAGATGATTACAAAACAAAAACAATCAAGGAGTTCCAATTTTGCCATACTTTTTTTTTTTTTTAAGATTTTTTTTTTTTTTTTTTTGAGGGAGTGTGAGAACACTTGCGTGTGAGTCACGGGAGGGGGAGAACGAGAGAGAATCTTGAGCAGATTCCCCACTGAGTGCAGAGCCCCGCATGGGTCTTAATCCCGTGACCCATGATATCATGACCTGAGCCTAAACCACCAGTCAGTCGCTAAACTGACTGAGCCACCCAGTCGCCCCTCACCCCCATGCATTTAGAAATGATTGGCATTGGCAACAACCACCAAGACAAAAATCATAAAAATTCTTAACATTTTGCAAACTTTATCAAGTAATAACAAAGTTGGATTGGTCTCAGTTTTGATTAGGTACCCACATTTGCGCCCCAGTTAATCTAACTTTTATATCTACTATATTTTTATTGGTAATTTTTAGGTACTTTTAATTTTTTTAAGCTTTTATTTATTTTAATTTATTTTAATTTTTTAAAAGATTTTATTTATTTGAGAGAGAGAGAGAGAGAGAGCATGAACAGAGTGAGAGGCAGAAGGAGAAACAGACTCCCTGCTGAGGGGAGAGCCTGATGTGGGGCTCTATCCCAGGACCCAGGGATCATGACCTGGGCTGAAGGCAGGTACTTAACCAACTGAGCCATCCAGGCACCCTTTTTTAGGTACTTTAAGGAGTATCTCTCTTAATTATGGCCATCTCTCTTAATTATGGCATCATTTGCAAGATGTTCCAGTTTTCTTTAGTCACTATGCACAGAGACTCTTTTTGCCTTAGAAGTATTTGGTCAACTCTGCTTATTATTTATTAGATTCTTATCTAAAAAAATATCTAGAAATCAATTATTATTTTTATTTTTACCAGAAGTAGGTTTTTTTTTTTTTTGGTAGGTTGGGTTTAATTATGAGTGGTATTAAAAAAATCGTAATTTTCTTAATGATTTGTATAACTGTTGGACTGAAAAGAAGTTACCTAGTTGTGGGTGATACTGGATTTACACTCTTTGAAATTCAAGAAGCTCAAATCTAAAGGTGTTTCCTAAATTTGATACAAACTCATTTTTGGCAAAACCTAACCAGAAATGATAGTTTATTTGTAATGTTTCCTTATCATATTTGTAAATATTTATATTTTTCACTGTGGAAATGTATTTGATTATAGGATAGTGCCATAGACTCACTGGAGATTTTAGTGTAATACGTTGTGTATATACCATGCTACCCTTCCAAAATCTGGGAAAAAAAAATCAAAATTCTGAAAGCTGTCTGGCTCCATAAGTTTCAGATAAGGGATTGTTGACCTAAATGATATTGCTCTTGTGTCCTTTGTAAGATTGTTTAGGATGAGTGTTTTTTCACAACAGTTTTAAATAAGCTGTGGGTCCCTGTGTGGTAATCTTGAGATTGACAATTATTTTGTAGGGCCAGTCAGTATCTATTGTACGTTACTATATTTTTAATTGATTTAACTTGCAGGATTTTTTTTAAAGCCTTTTGTAAAGGATTTCTAGGATAGTTTAGATACCTGATACTAATTACAATTTACTTTTTTTTTTTTTTAAACTTTCTTTACTTTTAATGTCCATTTAATTATAATAGCTAAGCCTGGTTGAGTTAACGGAACTTAAAACGGTGTGGAAACATAGACTTTTTTCACCATTTTATTATTATCCTTTTCTTAGTTATAGGCTCAAAGAATGTATCACCTTATAGATTTTACTATAGTTGTTGGCCATGACCTGAAAATGACCACTTGTTTCTTACTTCTTTCAGCTTCCCTTCCTTTGTTTTTCTTCTCGTTATTTCAAATTTTAGATTTTTATTTATTCAATTAGATATAAAGAGGATCAGAAGGTTATTTATTGAGTAATGTTGGGCCAAGATGGCCTGGGCTGCCCTAGGCAGGAATGGAAGAAACTTGCTTGAAAGCTTGTAGTCCTGTATGAACTCTTTAATAGTCTAAGCCAATCTTTTCAATGACTACCATGGTTGCTTATTTCCAAGATGGATTTGTTTTTTTTAAAAAATTATTGATTTCTTTCATTCTAGGGGGCTTTTTGAAAGTTTAGGTGGCTCTTATTGGTATGAATAGTATACTAATCAGCAGGAAAATTGATAACTGCTGTTGGAACTTCCATTTACTATGCCATGCTATTGTCTCCTTTATGTACTTGATACTCCTAAAATTGATTAGTATGCTCGGGATGTTGCCTGTCATAAATACCTGTGTTCATTTTTGCTGGGTAAGGAATAAAATAAATGAGACCCAAGTTTTTTGGGCCAGGTTTTTCTTGTTCTCAATGTGACTCAATGCTTGTAAGTTCTTACAGTTTATGAGATGAAGATGGAAGAGAAGAAGAATTTGGTCTGTATTATATTATTAAGTTAAAATCAAGTGCCCAGTTTAAAAAGAAGCACCTTTACTTTTAGAAAAAAAAAATTGCTTCTAGGGTACCACATATAGCATGAGCTATATAACACAAAATAGTGTTCCTTTTTTAAAAACATTTTAATTTAGAGTTACATATATTCATCTTCATTAGTGCTATATTGAATTAGAACCATTATACCAACTTCCATTGATTTATTATTTAATCAGGTTGGGAATGTCTATCATTCTTTGACTTAAATTTGTTTATATTGTTTTGCAAGTTACTCACAAATTTTGGTGGTTTCATTTGTGTCAGCGTTGTGTGTGTGTGTGTGTATGTATATACATATGTGTGGTTTTTTTTTCTCATATTTTCAACAGATTCTGAAGGGAGTGGTAATGGAAGTGAAGATCCTTCAAAGGACAGTGGAGAAGGTTCCTGTAGTGATTCTGAAGAAAATATTTTAGAAGAAGAACTGAATGAAGATATTAAAGTAAAAGAGGAACAACTTAAAAATTCTGCAGAGGAAGAAATACTGTCATCAGAAAAACAGTTAATTAAAATGGAAAAGAAGGAGGAAGAAGAAAATGGAGAAAGACCTAGAAAGAAAAAGGAGAAAGAGAAGGAAAAGGAAAAAGAGAAGGAGAAAGAAAAGGAGAAAGAGAAGGAGAGAGAGGATAAAGAAAAAGCAACAGTATCTGATAATGTGGCTGCTTCTGCAGCTGCCACCACACCAGCCCCAAGTCCTGCTGTTAACACATCTCCTTCAGTCCCCACTGCAGCAACCACTACAGAGGAACAAGTCAGTGAGCCAAAAAAGTGGAATCTTCGTCGAAATCGACCGCTTTTGGATTTTGTTTCCATGGAAGAGCTGAATGATATGGATGACTATGACAGCGAAGATGACAATGATTGGCGACCTACTGTAGTAAAGAGAAAGGGGAGATCTGCATCTCAGAAAGAAGGAAGTGATGGAGACAATGAAGATGATGAAGATGAGGGAAGTGGGAGTGATGAGGATGAGAATGATGAAGGCAATGATGAAGATCATAGCAGCCCTGCCAGTGAAGGGGGTTGCAAGAAGAAGAAGAGTAAAGTTCTTAGCAGAAACAGTGCTGATGATGAGGAACTGACCAATGATAGCCTGACACTATCTCAAAGCAAGAGTAATGAGGTAGATCAACCCAATTTTTATGATCTCTGTCTGTCTGGGGAAAAGGGAATTCTTCTCTAAACCATTCTACTCGTTATATTAAGTAGCTTCCTTGAAATCCTATTGATAGACAGCTGTGGGAGTGAATGAGCACACTAACTGTAACATATATTCATTTGGTCAACCAGCCTTTATTGAGTATCTGCTGTTTGTCACCGTCCTCAAGGAGCTCACAATCACCGGCCTCAAGGAGCTCACAGTCTTTATAGTTAGAGAAATATTTTTATATCCATAAACTAGGGATATGGTAGTTTTTCTTTCCCTTTCCTGTCCTCTCACTCCATTCTTCATAGGACTGCTGAATGGTGCTGACTGGAGTATGAAAACAAAGGTCACCTTTATTTCAACTTAGCTATGCCCTATCCACATGAAAATTTAGACTTCTAGAATATTTTAGAGCAGGACAGCAAACAGCTTAATGATTGCCTCAGACTTTTAGTGATTCATTTTAAAGTTAATTCCTTTACCAGTCATAGCATTCATCATCTGAATAGTTACCAAGTCTTTGCTTTAGATGTATGGGAGTAAATAAAAATGTTTACATATATTTAGTGAATAAGTTCTCTCTACAAAGAAATGAAAAAGAAAAACCAAACACTCGTATCATAAAACAAACATTTCTGTCTTAAAACTACAGTAATGATTCAGTTCTTCCACTTGAAGTTCTACTACCGAAAGTTAGGTTTATCCTTTGGGCCCAAGATGCAACATTCAAGATTCTTCAGTCAAACACATTTGTGTCTCTTTGTCTGTGTGTTTATGTGTATGTTTTTCTTCAAAAGCAAGATTGAGTTGTCGTCTTACATGTAGATGTACCTGTTACATCAACATGTGGAACTATAATAATTAAATTTGTCATTTCTGTTAGTGTATTTGTTGTCACAAAAATTCAGTTCTTTAGCAAGCACTTATTTTTTGTTTTCTCATATCATTGAAAAAGGTTAAACTGGTAGAAAGATTTTCCTTCTATTCTTTATTCTTTTACATTTTTTCTACGTTACAAGTTTTACATACCAGTGATTACCTATTTTAAGTAAGTTTCATTTAAAAACTGGGTGATTTTTTTCTTGCCAAAATAATAAGTAACAGGCTATGAGGGGCATATATGTCAGTAGTGATGAAACACGTTATATTTTAATTATAAACATTGGTTAACTTCTAGGTTATCCGCTTTCATATGAAGAATGTTGTCTGCTTCCAGTGCTATCTATCCTAATTCTTATCTTTAAGTAATGGGAAATTGTCATTTGGAATATAATATAATATAGTATTTATAATGCTGTAGCACAAACAGTTCCATATTCCCAGTGCCAATTTAGGAAACTAGAAATATGGAAAATTCAGTTGTTCATGTTTGATGTAGGCTTGTATCCAGTTCACTTTATAGTATTTAATAGTCTATATTTACTGAATAAGTTTACCTTTGGTAGCTTTACTTTCTTTATTTTTATTAGCCTGACATTCACAAAAGTAGGCTGGCTAATGATAAAGTCAGAGTTAGATTTTATGTGATGGTGTGGGGAATACCTGCAGATGGTTAGAAATCTGACAGGTAAAATGTATACCTTATCCATTTATTAATAAACTGTAATATGTAACGTTGCTTAGGAGGTTGTAGACTGTCCTTTATGATGCATTAGAAGACCACATGTGCTGTCTAGGTTTTTTTTTTTTTTTCCTACCAGGAGAGACTTCAGTAAATAATGGGACTTCATATATTTAGATTAAGTCCTAAAGGAATGTGATTGCAGAGCATTTATTGGAAATGTGCCTTGATGAAGTTGTCAAGAACTTTATTCTTATAGTAGCTAAACTAATTTCTGTTGTGTTAATTTCTGTTACTTTTCCTTTTGTTTTACTTTATGCCGAAATACAGAGAACTGATAGAAGTTAATTTAACTCAATAATAGTCTACCTGAAATCTTGGTAACTGTTTTTCCCCAACACTAGTAATTTTTGATGGTTCTTCTATTTATCACTCAAATTAGCTAACAAATTTTAATAAAAACTAATCAAGATTATTATTTTATCTTACATTTCTGAATTTCCTCTTCGTATGCTCTTGATTTTGTAAAGATGACTAAAGGTAATTCTTGTTTCCTTATGGCCATTGTTTGTATCTTAATCTTCCTGGTTATTTTAGGTAATGATATTTTGGCATCAAGGTATCAATTATCTATTAGTTAATACAAATATATTTGATTATATTTGAAATTTTATTTTTCTCTATGTTTTCGAATACTGCTTTGTAGTAGAACTAGCTGAAAGTGTGGTTTTAGAAATACTTAATTGAATTATATTTAGTTTATAAACAGCATATTTTCTTGGCTGTTACGTCAGGTGCTCTTGTAGAGAAATGATGTTGGACATTTTGTAAGTGATTTCCAGAAACTTCAATAATTTTAGAGTTTTTTAGGGAATTTGATTTTTTTTTTTTTTTTTTTTTGAGTGGGGGGCCTTTTATTGATTCTTAGTGGACTTAACATGCCTATGCCAAAGGCCTTGAAAATACTCTAGAGTAGTAGTTTTTAAACTTTTTTCTCGGGATACTTTACACTCTTAAAAAAAAAATTACTGAGAACCCTAATTGTATTTATGTAGGTTATAGCTTTTGTTACTTTCAAATTAAAACTCAGGAATTTCAAAAATTAAAACATACAGAAGCACACAAGTGGTCAGATTGATGACCCTATTCCCTGTTGTCTAGTTCTGGAAGACTACATCATACACCTATGAGAGTGAAAAAGGCAAAAACAACCTCACTATTATTATGAAAATAGCCTTAACTTGTGGACCTTATGAAGCAGAGTCCCACAGACCACACCTTGAGAACTACTGTTCTATAATTGAACATTTGATAAACCGACATTTTCTACATATGGGGACTTCCCTTGGCCTATAGAATTATGACATTTTTTGAATTTAGTGAGGTCTGAACAATCACCTTGGAGTATGGTTACATGCCATTTTCAAACTTTTATCTTGATGCTTTTGAGATTAATTGATGTTATATTGCTTTTTGGTTTTCTGAAGTGAATCTTTTGGGGATGGGTGGTGTAGCATTTTCAGAGAATGGTTTGCATTTTCAGGACTTTGAAACTAGAGCTTTGATTGAGGATTAATATTTGACAGAAGATTATATCAATAGAAATTTTCAGGTGGAAGTTTTTTGGTTTCTTTTCATAAAAGACTCCCTTGCGTTAAATGGATTGTAAGATGTTAAATGGATGTGAAGAAATGGCAATTGTCATCCCATTTTTGGTAATTTAAATTTTTGCCAAAATTTATAAATAGCTACTTCTGTTTGTGGTTTCTGACTTATTAAATATCAGTTGCTTTTTACACATTTCAAAATAAAACAATTTTTTTTTTTAAGATTTTGTTTATTTACTAGAGAGAGACAGAATGAGCAGTGGGGAGGGGCAGAGGGAAAGAGAGAGTGAGAAAGAGAAGCAAACTCCCTGCTGACCAGGAAGCCTGATGCAGGGCTAGATCCCAGGACTCTGGGATCATGACCTGAGACAAGGGCAGACGCTTAACTGACTAAGCCACCCAGGCATCCCAGAACTGCATTTTTTTTTTAAGATTTTATTTATTTATTGGAGAGAGAGAGAGAGCGAGCACAGGCAGCGGGGAGGGGTAGAGGGAGAAGCAGACTTCCTGCCAAGCAGGGACCCCGATGTGGGACTTGATCCCAGGACCCTGGCATCATTGACCTGAGCTGAAGGCAGATACTTAACCAACTGAGCCATCTAGGCACCCCAGAACTGCACTGTTTTTTTTTTTTTTTTTTTTTTTTTAAAGATTTTATTTATTTGTTGGAGAGAGCGAGCAAGAGCACGCACAAGCAGCAGGGAGGGGTAGAGTGAGAAGCAGACTTCCTGCCAAGTAGGATCCCCGTTGTGAGACTTGATCCCAGGATCCTGGCATCATTGACCTGAGCCGAAGGCAGATGCTTAACCAGCTTAAGCCACCCAGGTGCCCTTAAAACAACTGCTTTAATATATTAAAAGACAGTTCAAAATACTGTGCAAAAATTACTTCCAATTCTTGAGAATTTAACTTTTTCTTGAAAAACTTAGAGGAAGAAAAAAAAACAAAACTTAGAGGAAGACCTGTTGCTCAAACTTTTTGGTGTACTAATTTTTTCTCATATTCAGAGCAATAAGGATTCTTTTAATTCTAGTTTTGCATGAAGTGTTCAGGAGTTCCCTTTAATTAGACATACATAAAACTTAGAATTTATCCTGTTGTATGTAGTATTTATAATCATCTTTGTAGAATACATAAATAAATGAGCACTAAACCCATGGAGTGCATTAGACAATATTATCATTTTAGGTGTAAATTTTAAATCCCAAGGGAAAAAAAATGAATAAGTTCACTGAAAGTTGTCATTGACTTACAACTATAGTGCCCCATTTATTCCTCTAATTGCCATAGATACCATTGAATTATGATATAATATCAAAGTTCTTTTGTAAGTGATACTCTTGTGCCATCCAAAACCTACTTTCCCAATATCTATTTTAATGTGAAAACCGAATTTTCAAATAATGTATTTTTTGGTAAAAACTTTGGTAAAAAGAGAGTGTGTTACCAAGATTTTCCCACTAGAAGCATTATCGGTCAGTCATTTGGTAGGGCTCCAGTTCCCTTGATTTCTCTCTCTCTCTGCATTACATTTCTGGTAAGAATCTCAAATGATGGGTCTCCCAGAAATACCAGTTGATTTTGTTTTCTCTTCCTCTAAATGATAGTATGTGGAGAGTGAAATTGGTATAGATATACAATCTAGACATTTTTTTCTGAAGAAAATGGAAGAACAGGAAAATAATGGAATTACAGCTACCTATTAATGCTTATTTTTCTGATCCATAGAAAGTTACTTGTTCCCCACATGGATAAACCTTTTTTCAAACGCTCATTAGTTGGAATTCCACCAGAAAAGCATTGGCAGAACCCATTTTACACGAGTAGCCTGTCAATCATCAAACTCAGGTTGTTGGCTAGATCATTTTCTAGTTTGTGATTTTTAACCTAGATGTGGTATTTTGGGAAAAAAGTCTTTTTGGACTTGCCATGGGAAGATATTTAAAATAGCAGTACTCATTGAGGTTTACAACTTTTGGAGGGATTCTAAGGAAGATTCCTCAGTATAATAAATGGTCAGCTCATATTCCTCTTCTTGAACCACCTACAAGAATTAGGAAAGGGGAATGGAAATGAACATAATTAACTGAGTACCTAGTATATCTCAGGAACATTTTTACTATACAATTATCTTAATCTTCACAACAATGTCAGCAGGTAGGTATTACTTTTGCCATCCCATTTTACAGATGAGAAAACTGTAGCTTTGAGGTTCAGTAGTTATTAAATGAGAACTGAGAATGAAACGCAAAACATTAGACTTTAAGTCAAATGCTCTTAAATTTGAAGCATAGCCAATGGGGTGACCATTTGGGTAGATTTTTGTTTTGCTCAATGTACCAAAGTACTATAAAACATGAGTTTTCTTCTTAGGAACTTTTTACCTTTTTTAGTACTCATGTCCCAAGCCCCAAACACTATGGTTTTATAACAAAGAGGAGCAAAAAAACAAAAACAAAACAAAACAAACCCGAAATATACAATTTTAAAGTATTAGGATTCTCTAGAGCATGGACGCTGTCTCCTATTTGACTTTGCTTTTTTTTCCTGATTTGCATTTTTTCTGATTTGTTTTATAGATCAGCTGCAAGTTTAGGTGTATAGCACAGAATTGAAAAAAATGTTATTGATGGGATGTTCAGGGGTCATTCAGATGTCATTTATAGATTGCTATGAAATGATGACTCTAAATGTTACCTAGAGCTACTAGTCTGTTTAAAAGAATACAAAAATATAAGAAAAAGTGGTTAGGTTCTCAAATGAAAATATAGACTCAAGTGCTATCTTGTATAATATCCAATCTGATAATATAAGAATCATTGTTAACCATTTAAAGTTTAAATCTGTAATGCAGTTTAAATTAAACAAAGCAAACCTCTTTTCCTTCTTGAAATTTTATCTTTATATCTTTGTTTCTCCTTTTATATTATTAGTCAGTATCTTATTATCAGTTTATACTAAATTTTTTTTTTTTAAGATTTTATTTATTCATGAGAGAGAGAGGCAGAGGGAGAAAGAGGCTCTCCCTGGAATCATGGCCTGAGCTGAAGGCAGACACTCAACCTACTGAGTCACCCAGGCACCCTATACTAGTTATTTCTTGACACAAACTTAATAGAGTACTTCACGCTTTATCAACTAGATAACCTGGATCCTTTTTTAGATGGTTTTCTGTGCCTGTATATACAGATATGCCTATCTAGGCTCTCTTGAATTGATCATCCAGTAGTTTGATGACTCTAAAACTTCTGAATTCCTCAGCAGTTAAGGAGTATATAGTCTGTAATTATGCCAGTATGTAAATATACCATCCCATACATATTTGCTTATATGTTATCTTGGATTGATTTTTTCCTGTTTGATATGTGTGTGTCTTGTCTCCCTTAAGGCAGGCTTATAAGCTTCCAAAGTGTAGGAACCATGTCTTACTATAATCCAGAATGGTAAAGCAGGTGAAGAGTTGTTAGTCGCAAGCTTGCTCTTTTATTTTTTAAAGAGGAGAATATGGGACTTCAGGGAAAATAAAAAATTATAGGGTGCTTAGAGGGCCATTTGATAAACAGATGGACTTTTCAAATGTTTTGGAATTATTAAATTTCAAACTAAATTACTAAAACAATGGAGAATGCAGCATAATTTTAGAAATGCATAAAATAACTTTGAGAATTATAGTTATTAAAATTATCTTTTAATTTAATCATGTGATTTTCTGATATGTTTTAATATTAGGACTCGCTGATTCTTGAGAAGAGTCAAAACTGGAGTTCTCAAAAAATGGACCACATTCTGATTTGCTGTGTTTGTCTTGGAGATAATAGCGAGGATGCTGATGAAATAATTCAGTGTGACAATTGTGGCATTACAGTCCATGAAGGTAATTTTGCTTTGTATTATCTCCTTTTTGAAACAGCTAATTGACACTGCATTAAAATAAGTAAAATCAACTCTTTTGCATTTGTACTGTTCTAAGGTTTTTCTGTAGTACTTCACAGTTTTTCAATTGAAGTAGGACATATTGAATCCTCAAAGTATCATTTTTCAGATTATGTTAATTTAACATGTGTTTTTAAATAACTGAAATAGAAATACTATTACATGGAAATCACAGTATTTCTTTGAAGGTCAGTGTTATGATAATTTTCTTCCTGGCATTTGTTTCTCGTTTTTAAATGAAATTTAGATATAGGAAAAAATGTAGTATGTTAGTGTGGTAGAATATGTTATTTAAAAAATCACATTCTGGGCGCCTGGGTGGCTCAGTGGGTTGGGCCTCTGCCTTCAGCTCAGGTCATGATCCCAGGATCCTGGGATTGAGCTCCGCATCGGGCTCTCTGCTCAGCAGGGAGCCTGCTTCCCTCCTCTCTCTTTCTGCCTTTCTGCCTGCTTGTGATCTCTGTCTGTCAAAAAATAAATAAAATATTAAAAAAAAAATCACATTCTGAATCTAGTGATATACAGTTTTTGTTTCACGGTTATAATTTTTAATTTTAAACTTGTGTAGAGAGATTATCTTTTAAAATCTGAAATAGCTACTATAATATATGGAAAATATTTTTCCAGTTATTTTTGAGTCTTTTTTGTTATTTCTTTTGCTTGTTTTTTCACTTAATTTTTTTTTTTCATTTTGACGTAATTTCTGACTTACAGAAAACCTTTAAGAGTATTATAAAGAATTTCCATATACTCTTCACTCAGATTTCCCATATGGTAACATTTTGCTGTTTTATATTCTCTGATACAACAATTTTGTTTTCAACTCTATGGGAATAAACTGTAGACATAGCATCTCCCTTTACTACTAAATACCTGAGTGTGTATTAACAAGGGCTTTTTCTTATATAACCATATAATTATCAAAGTCAGGAACTAAGCATTGATTGAATTCTATCTAACCTACGGACTATGTTCAATTTTGCCAATCATCCCTGTAATGTCTGTTCTAGCAAAGTAAAATCCAGGATTATGCATTACATTCAGTCATTATGTCTTATTTGGTTACCTTTAATCTGGAACATTTCTTGAGACCTTGTGTTTCATGCCATTGGCATTTTTGAAGAATACAGGCCAGTTCATTTACAGAATGTCCTTAATACTAATTTTATCTTTTTTTTTTTTTTCCTCATGGTTAGATTCAGGTGACATGTGCTTTTTTTTTTTTTTTTTTAAAGATTTTATTTATTTATTTGACAGAGATCACAAGTAGGCAGAGAGGCAGGCAGAGAGAGAGAGAGAGGAAGGGAAGCAGGCTCCCTGCTGAGCAGAGAACCCGCCATGGGGCTCAATCCCAGGACCCCAGGATCATGGCCTGAGCCGAAGGTAGAGGCTTTAACCCACTGAGCCACCCAGGCGCCCCTCAGGTGACATGCTTTTGGCAGAAATGCCATAGAAGTTATGTTGTGTTTTCAGTTTATCATATTAAGAAGCATATAGTACTTACTTTTCCCATCGTTGGTGATGTTATTTTCATCACTTGGTTGAGAGGGTATCTTCCAGGTTTCTCTGTGGTAAAATTATTTCTTTCTGTCAGTTAATTTTTTCCTGCAGGGCTGTGATTACCACAAAAGAATTTTTCTATGGCCTTGTCCTTACCTGCTCTTTTGGTATTACAGCCCTTCTCTCAATAGTTCTTGGAGTCTGCTGGGCTTATGGGACTTGCAGGGCCTATGTTTCTTTAGCCAGTACCTTCTTGCCTTCATATAAAGCTGCCATTCCTTGCTGCTAAGGCTCACAATGGAAATGTCTCCTATTATTGTTACTTATTCATTTAGTCTTTTCAGTAATATTTGTTGAGTACCTTCTATATGCTAGGCATTCTGTAGATTTTAGACAAGTAAAGTAAAATAAAGTAAAATAAACAATATAGAAATTGCTGACCTCATGGAGGTTAATATCTAGTAAGACAGGCAATGAAAAAAATAAAACAATAAATGATTATATATATGTATGTTTACATATATATACATACATACATATCAGGTGATAGTCTGAACTATGAAGAAAAATAAGGCAGGACAAAGAGAATTGGAAATGCTATGGATTTGCAGGGAGGAGTGGACAGGTGGGAGTTTGTATTTATGCAAGGTGAAGAGGAAAATCCCCTCTAATAAGGTGATATTGAGCAGTGACCTGAAGGATGTTAGGAAGCGAGTCATGCAACTCTTTGGGGAAAGAGCACCCTAGGAAGAAGGAGTAGGAAGTGTAAAGATCTTGAAGTTGGAACACAGTTGGAGTGTTTATGTCATGGCAGGAATTAAGTGAGCAAGCTGGTGAGTGGTGGGGGTAAAGATGAGAGCGAACCAGGTAGGCCTTGCAGGTCATAGATTTTCGATTTGATTCTGATGGATGTGGTAAGACCTATGAGTTTTGGGCAGCGGGTTAATATGATCAGATTTATGTTTGGGAAGGATCACTCTGATTGCTGGGTTGGAAGTAGACTGAAGTGGGTCTAAGTTGGGAATCAGGGAAATCATTTCAGAGACCATTGCAATGATGCAAGTGAGGAAAACGTTTTGAGATAGGTAAAATAGGTAAAATTAGGCAAAATGTTGGAACTAGAGATAAAAATTTGGGACTCATCGCCTGTAGATGTTATATAAAGCTGTGAAATTGGATATGCTATCTAGGGAGTAGTAAAGTGGTTCTAGCACTTCAGAGGAGATGGGAATCGCATTGCCAGTGGGACAGGAGGAGAACCAGGAGTAATGACCCAGAGGCTAAGTAAGGAAAATGTTTCAAACAGAGAAAGTGAGTAACTGTCATATTTTGTTTCTTGAGTCAGATAAAGACCTATGTCATGTGGCCACTTATCCTAATGCAGTGGTAGACTCCCAAGTACACTACCAGGCAAGCCATCCCAAAAGTTATAGGGAAAAAGGTTCATGGACAAGATGCTTTAATTACATGGCTTATTAAATAAGTGTAAAATAAAATACATGGAAAAAAGCAAAGGGAAAAATACGAAATTAGTTAACATGCTTATGATAGAGTACAAGTTGGTGGAAGGATCACCTGAATCCTGGGGTACACAGAGTTTGTATTGTATGTCTTACCTCTCTCTCTGCCTTTTCAGCCTTCGCAGCTGGTAGTATGGTTCTGAGGACCAGAGCCCACGTGGGCACTACCCTGGGCCAAACACACATACTCTTGGACAGATCCAGAGACAAGTATGCTTTAGTTCTCCAGTTAACCTACAGAATAGTTATGGGTTTTATGTTTCTTGGGCTGTGGACTCATGGAGCTAGAATAGGTATAACTGATGGGTGGCCATACTGAGATCTCATGAATATTGTGTTCTTCATGTCTCATGTACATTTAGTATATTCTTATTCTTCTGTGTCTTCTGTATATGTAGTAACTAGGTGCTTCAAGAATGTTAAATGTTTCTTGGTCTTTCTGTCTTTTTTCTGTCCATGTTTAATACATACCTGCTTTTTATCTGTACATGCACATTTCATCTGTCTCATTTTGTTTTTCTGTAGCAAAATGAATATTCTCAAGCAGAACAAAACACCATTACAATTGAGAGTTTACCATTGAACTTAGTAACATGAATGTCATTTCTTATTTCAAGAGAGTTCAGGTGGGAATGGAAGAAGGAAAGTGAAGATAGTGACTAAATGCAATCCCTACAATGAATTTTTATATAAACGGAAGCAGCAAGATGGGACCTTAGCTACAGGGATGTGGAGTTGAGGAAGGGTTTATTTCTTCTTATTTTAGATGCTTTTAGTTATCTTTTACTGTATAACAAACTATCCCACAATGTATCAGTTTAAAACAACAAACATTTTTACTTCACACGGTTTCTAGTGGTCAAGCATCTGCTGGAACTGTTAGTTGGGTGATTCTGTCTAGGGTCTCCCATGAAGTTCCAGTCATAGCTGTTGGCCTGAACTATAGTCATTGCAAGACTTAACTGGAGCTGGAGGATCTACTTCCCAGCTTGCTTATGTAGTTACAGATAGGCTTCTGTTATTTGGTGGCTCTTGGCTGGAGATCTGAGTTCCTCACCATGTGGGCCTGGGTATTCTCGTGACAGGACAGCTGGCTTCAGAATGAGTGATCAGAGAGAGAAAGGGTTAGAAGCAGTCATATGAGAGAGCTAGTGTCTTTTACAGCCTAATTTGGAAATATATACTATAATTTCTGCATATTCTTCACACAGAACAATCCTACTTAAATGTAGGAGGGCACATTCTAAGATGATTAATACAAGGAGCACTGATCATTGGGGACCATCTTAGAGGCTGCCTATCACAGATACAGAGATTAAATAGCGTGTTAGTATAGTACTAACATGGGGGGTGACCAGTGGAAAGAGAGTGGACAATTGATGTAAGGAGAGAAAAGGAAGCAGTTGCTGGAGCTAGGACTTTGAATACAAGGCTAGAGGGGATGGGATCCAGCATCAGGTGAAGAGATTGCGTAAATATGAGTAGCCATAGTAAGCAGAGGGGAAAGGATATATGGATACAGACGTAGGTAGGTTGTTAGATGTAGTGGTCAGAGCATGTGCAACTTATTTTTAATGCTTCTTGTTTTCTTGGTGAAATGGGAAGGAAAGTCATTAGTAGAGTGGAGATGGGGGAGATAGATGTTGGGAGATTTGGGAACAGAGGTTGGTATAAAATAGTTATTTGGGAGAATGAAGTGGATTAGGGAAATATTGGCATAACACTGTGTGCATGTGTGTGTGTGTGTGTGTATATATATATATATATATAAAACATATATATGTTTTACTGACAGCTATAAAGGACCACTTGTGATTAGTGATAATGAATTAAACAGACGAGTCAACATGGTTGTGTATATGTTTGGGGTGGGTTTTTTTGTTTTGTTTTGTTTTTTTGTTTTGTTTTGTTTTGTTTTCTC